CCAGCAGCAGCCTCTGGTCATGGTGGCCCAGAGCAGCCTCTGCCTGTAGCCAGACCAGGCTGCTGCGAAGAGGGGCTGCTAGACCCCGTGTGAGCCATGAACAGGGGTGAGCTGGCCACAAACAGGGGCTACTGCTGGAGCAGCCTCTGCCTGCGGCCAACCCGGGCTGTGACAAACAGGGACTGCTGGACCCAGCACAAGCCAGGACCGAGCAGTCCCAGCTCTTACTGGTCCAGGACCACTCCAGCTCTGCATTTTAAATGTAGTAAGAGCCGTCTCTTACTTCATTTAAAATGCAGAGCCACAGCAGTCCCAGCTCGTGCCGGATCCATGAGCTACCCCTGCTCTGCCATTTAAATGTAGTAGGAGCCACGCTACCTGTATGCCCGGCTCGTACTACATTTAATTGACAGAGCCACAGTACGCGTAGCTCCTGGACAGGTGCGAGCCGGGACAGAGCACAGTCCCTTACCAACTAATCGTGAGGGTACTGTAGCCAATTTGAATGGGAACATTGCTGGCTGCTCCCTTTCCTCAGGGTGCAAGGGGAAAGTTCACAGTTCACTGCATTTTTCACTCTGCGGAGTGCAGGGGGAGACAAATCTGAAACTGTCCCAGACAGGCAACATGCACCCATCACCAGGCTGGAGTTGCAGCAACCATGCAGAGGTGCTTCTTATCTGGCCCCATGCTGCTGAGGTGAGAGAGGGTAGGGTTCTCCTCTCTACGGGGCAGCCTGTATACTGAACCCCTTACCTCCAGCCCCACCCTCAGATAAATGAGCAGCACTGGGTAAATCTTCTTGTACTAAATAAAAAGGCAGTGCAGCTATAAAGATTTGTGTGGAAGAAGGACATTTTCAAACTAGGATAGTAGAAATGAAAAAGACCTCATTTATCTCAGACAAAATGGTATATTACAGTTTCAGTAACCTCTAAGTCAATTATATAAATAATGCGGCTAAACCAGCAACGCCACTTCAGTAGTTCACTTAAATGTAATTTTAAAAGTTTCATTTTACTTCCTCTTCTTGTGATCTTAAATGGAATTCAAGCATAGGTCTATATTAGCAATGCTGGCACCCTTTCCGGAATAGTGGCCATGATATAAGTGCTACACCAGGAGCACAGAGCATGATTTTTCAGCACTGAAACAGTGAATCTTTACAAAAAATATAAATTTTCACAGCAGACTAGAACTAGAGGACATCACATTCTGGGTGTGAACACTTAGCAAATGTTTCTCTAAATAATCATCTTCCATACACAGTGATTTTTTTTTTTTTTACAGTTGAGAGAGGCTAAGAGTATCCGCTAACGTACCAAAATGACACAGCCACTAAAATATTTTTTTTAAACTAATTGCACTTTTGAAATGGTTTTCATTTGTAGTGAGTAGGAAACGATTCATAAGATTTTAAAACTAAGATTACAATAAACTCAAAAAACAAGAAAATATTAAGTTTGGGTCAATGTTAAACACTTAGCTTTTTTCCCATACTACATAGCATTTTTTTGTTCATATACATTTGATTTGCATTCAGTCTTAAATCCATTTATTTAGTGAAGAAAATGCGAGGAAACAAATTAGATTATTTTCTGTCGGAGTATTTTTGTGCATGAACTTCAATTTAGGCTAGATTAGAATGATGAGCAAACCCTCAGAGCTATCACTATAAGATCATTTTTACATGCCACAGAACTTTATATTTAAATAATTAAAATAGCCACTCTAAATGTAGTAATGTAGCCACTAACTTGGACATATTTATCTCATTGCCTTTAACATAACTATTCTTTTTTTATCAATTCATCCCAGCCGCTAACCTGCATCGTCACAAGTGCAGGGTCAACAATATTATAGCTCACTTGTTCCTATTGTCACCCTCATAGTACCGCTGTTTCATAGCCCTATACTTTCTGAGATAATACAAGGCCTCCAGCTCTTTTATAACAAATTCTCCACGAGCAATTAGTTGCTTAATTTTTTCTGGATCCTTCACATCCTTATTTTTTAGGAAAGCTGCCTTCAAACGGCTTCTAAAGTAGTCTGCTCCTTTGGGATATTCCCTTCCAAGGTACAGCAGCTTAAAAAAAATAACAAGTATTTTAGAACTTTGCAATAGGTGGCAAAATGTTTTTTTATCTAGTTAAGGAAAAGTGCTAGTGGCATTCAAGACACTTACATTTCTGTAAAGATTCAGCACTTCACCTCTGAGATTGGCCATTTTTTCATATTTCACTGAACATAGCACTTATTTACCTAAAGAATAATCAGTTTGATATTAGCCACATACTAAACTAACAAATGACTGCACTTTAATTATTTATGATATTACTTACACTACTAACCAAAATAACTATGATTGAATTAGATTTCCTTAGTTTTTGCTTTCCTGAATTAGTAGGAATGCATTTACAATTTAACGAAGACAGGTCTTATTTTAAGTAAATCAATCAATTCTGAAAATAATTCAATGTATATTTCCCAGTTCAAGATGTGGAAGCTTGCAAGCTCAACACTACAATTTTTTATAATTCCTTGTATTAATATGTAGATTATATGGCCAGTAGGCAGCATCTCTTCTATCTCAATTAGACTGTCAATCTTCCAAGTACAGTGGCTCTGTCATTTCTGAAGTTCTTTAGATCAGGGGTCTCAAACTCCCATCCCCCAAGGATGTGGCCTTGGGGATTACTGGCAGGACTGGTGGTGGTTGGCAGCAGTGGTCCATCTCCCTTGAACTTCCTTTTGGGCTCGTCTACACTGGCCCCTTTTCCGAAAGGGGCATGTTAATTTCAGAGATCGTAATAGGGAAATCCGCGGGGGATTTAAATATCCCCCGCGGCATTTAAATAAAAATGTCCGCCGCTTTTTTCCGGCTTTTAGAAAAGCCGGAAAAGAGCGTCTACACCCTCCGGAAAAGGGCGCTTTTTCCAGAGGATCGGGGCCAGTGTAGACGCTCTTTTCCGGCTTTTCTAAAAGCCGGAAAAAAGCGGCGGACATTTTTATTTAAATGCCGCGGGGGATATTTAAATCCCCCGCGGATTTCCCTATTACGATCTCTGAAATTAACATGCCCCTTTCGGAAAAGGGGCCAGTGTAGACGTAGCCCCTATGTTGGTGGAAGCCATGGGGAAGCAGAGGACTCAGCTGAAAAGAGTATGGGGGAACCTGATTCCCTGCTGCTGCCCAGCACCAAGCTCCTTCCCTGGTGATCCCTGAAGCTGCATCCCTTGGGAGGCAGGATGCCATCCAAGGGGAGAGGCTGGGGCAATGGAATGAAAAGGCAGGGGTTGAGGGACAGGAATGGACAGGCCCCCAATTCCAGCATTCTGGGACTCCCAGGCTGGATTGTACAGCTGCTCCAGCCAGGGATGACCTGTGGGCCAGGAGTTTGAGTCTCCCGCTATAGATGAAGCAAAACTGGAAGTGAACTATAAAAACCAAACAATTGAGATTCAAAAGTGGAAAAAGCTGAACTAGAAGAACTCTTCTGGAGTGATTTCTAAGTTCTTTTATACTCTGTTTTTCCTAAATAGCTGAATCATTTGTGATTCAGAAAGTAGCTGAGCATGAGGTCAGCAAGCTGTATGTTTTATGTTTAACTCTTGTAGCAAGACTGCATTTGAATCCTGAAAGATTTGTATGAAGACTAGAGATCCTAGGACAGGACGGGGAGGAGGAGGGGGAGTGGCAGGTGGCTCTGCAGAAGTCAGCATGTGTATAACCCTAAATTCTCCCTAAGTAGCACAGTCTTATTGGGAGCAGCTCTATATAAATAACCAGCTTTTAAGTCCACTGGCTCCTGCCTGCACTCCCCTCCCCAGCTCTGCTGGCCTCTGTGGGAGGCAGAGGGTATGTGTGTGTCAGACTCATCAGTTAACCACTACTTGGCTACAGTTCACATCCCCAGTTATAAGCCTATATTTTATTAAGCAGCAGAGATGGGACAATTTACCTTCTGGGGCTCAAAGTCTGTACATTCACTTTGAATCCAAAGGATTTAGAAAGTTCATGAGCATGCCATGGGGCTCCTGCTACTACTTATCATGAAGATCTGAGTCAGAAGTAAGGATGTTAAAAAGCGGTAATTGGTTAATTGTGTAGTTGATACAATCTGTTATCGACTACATGATTAGTCAGTAAGGGAAGGAACTCAGTCCCAGCTCATGACAGGTCCATGAGCTATCCCCGCTGTGGCCCTGCAATTTAAATGTGGGAAGAGCTGGGAGTGCAGGCAGCCCCCAGACCCAGCCAGAGCAGGGACTGAGCAAGCCCAGCTCAGTTCTGGCTCATGCCAAGTCTAAGCCCTACCTAAGAAGAGGATTGCCAGATACCCTCACAAAAAATCCAGAACATGGCATGGGGGAAAAATGGGGAGGCGAGGGAGGAAAGGGAGATCAAACTTGTTGAGTCCTCCCCCCAAAAAAGTCATTGTGCCTTTAAGTTCCTGTGTTCCCTCTTCCCCCGCCAGGGGAAAAATATCCCCACCAGCTTTCCAGCCAAGAAAAACAGAAAATACTGGACATTTTACATGTCTAGTATTTTTTTTCTACTGGACAGGAGACGTAATTACCGGACTGTCCCGGCAAATACTGGACACCTGGCAACCCTAAGAGCCCTTACTACATTTAAAATGCAGAGCTGCAGCAGACACAGCT